GATATCTTTCTTTAAGAAACCATGTGGAGTAGCATTTTCTGTCTGTACCCTCTGGGACTGCTGAAAGTCTTAACGTGGACATAGCACACTGTGATTCTCCTGTTTTATTAACTTTACCCTGACTTGTTACTTAACATGTAAACACCCAGAGCTTACACACTTTTTTACTAACAGCTTGCAACTGATACAGATTCATAAATAAAAGCATCTACTGTTATTTTACGTGTTCTAGAGTATCCAAGACTTCTACAGGAGCAGACAGATAAGACATAGGATCTACAAGAAACCTGTGCTCTTCCGGAATGGCAACTCAGGACTAGACATAGTAATATAAAGTATCTGAAATAACCTCCTTTCCTTTGGCAGTTGAATACAACCCTGGTATTGATATTAAAAATATCAGGAACTGTGTAGCTGTTTGTCGTCTTCTGCTTATTTATTTCGTTTACTGTGTCATCATGGTAGCACATGTTATTGTGTTTAATTTTTCTTTAATAAACCTTCCTTTTCTGCAGCTTTTTTCATCCCTTTGCAATCTATAAGAAATAATTGCTTCGAGAAGAATTACTAAATAACTTCAATGAGTTTGTGTTACTTGTTGCAGTAATAAACTTTTAGAAAATATTTTAAGATTTTATACCAAATTTTGATCAGTTACTGCCATAATTCCAGAGTAAAATCAGTGCACTGGAAATGAGCAGCTGAGCACTGGATTAATACTATTGATTGTTTTCAAAATATTTCTTGCAGTTCTCCTTGGTGAGTTATTCAAGCAAAAATTATACTTTGATCTTAACAGTAATGTTCCTTTTATATCTTTCCTACTAAACCTTCATTTTCCTCATAACATCTTTTGTCCAAACTGTCTTTAACATTTAATTTTGTTGTAGTCCATGTCGAGAAAACTAAACCATTTTATGTCTCTCTCTCTCCTGGTGTTAGTTAACATCTTTGTTGGGGACATGGACAGTGGGATTGAGCGCACCCTCAGCAATTTTGCTGACAACACCAAGCTGTGTAGTGCAGTGACACGCTGAGGGAAGGGATGTGCCATCCAGAGGGACCTGGACAGGCTGGAGAGGTGGGATGGTGTGAACCTCATGGAGTTCAACAAGGCCAAGGGCAAGGTCCTGCCCATGGGTCGGGGCAATCCCAAGCACAAACACAGGCTGGGCCATGAGTGGATTGAGAGCAGCCCCAAGGAGAAGGACTTGGGGGTATCAGTGGAATGAAAACTGACCGTGAGCCAGCAATGTGCGCTCACAGCCCAGAAAGCCACCCGTGTGCTGGGCTGCACCCAGAGCAGTGTGGGCAGCAGGGCAAGGAAAGGGATTCTCCCCCTCTACTCCACTCTTGTGAGACCCCCCTGCAGTGCAGGGTCCAGCTCTGGGGGCACCAACAGCAGAAGGACACGGAGCTGCTCGAATGGGTCCAGAGGAGGCTACAAAGATGCTCAGGGTGCTGGAGCACCCTGTGAGGACAGGCTGAGAGAGTTGGGGGAGTTCAGCTGGAGAAGAGAAGGCTCTGGGGAGACCTTAGAGCGGCCTCTCAGGGCTGAAAGGGGCTGCAGGAAAGGGGGGAGGGACTCTTGATCAGGGAGTGTGGGGATAGGATGAACAGTAATGGTTTGAAACTGAAGGAGAATAGATTTAGATGAGATCTAAGGAAGAACTTCCCTGTGAGGGTGGTGAGGCCTTGGTACAAGTTTCCCAGAGCAGCTGTGGCTGCCACCTCCCTGGAAGGGTTCAAGGCCAGGCTGGACGGGGCTTTGGGCAACCTGGGCTAGTGGAAGGTGTCCCTGTGTCAGGGGGTTGGAACTGGATGTTCTTTAAGGTCTCCTCCAACCCAAACCACTCTGTGATTCTATGATGATTCTATGATTATTTTCTTATGGGAAACAGAGGAAGGGAGGAAGATGGTCTTTTAGTATACCTCTTCTTTTGTAAGCCTAATTGCATGGCAGGTGAGTTTTTCCAGTGTAAATGTAGCAGATTTAGTACCTGTGTATTGTCTTTGAAATTTACTATAATACTGCTTGCAACTTATTTTTCCATATATCCTGAAGTGATTTCATTTTCTCAAGTTTTTCTCATATCTAAATGATTTCCTTTGATAGCCACTTTGGCACAATTCCCATTTTATTCATTCTGTAGTAAAGCCTATTATAACAATTTTCTGTACAAATGCATAAAAAATTTATTTCTCTTCTGTTTACTTACATGTTCTTGAACTTACCAACACCAGACTTCTCACAAAAGTGAGAAAACAGATGTAAGTCTGTGCTTCTGGTATTCCTCATTAGGCTGATTTTCAGAAAGTTTTTTTGCAAAGGAGGTAAATACTGCATAGGCAATTTTTGCTTTAATAATGACACTGGGTAAAAAAAAATTAACATACATATGGGGAAACTGCTTCTCAATATGCAATTTCTTAATTCCGGATTATACTTGTAATTTATTTGCATTACAATAACTCTCAGATGTATAAATAGAGCATTTTGCTAGGAACTACAAACATGTCATTATGTAGAATGACAGAGGTAAAGCAACTTAGAAATTTTTTTTATATTGATTCCATGATCCCAAGATCTCTGTTTACTCCCAGTAACTTTATTCCTCCTGCTTAATGAATAATTTTGCACATTTCAGTTTCCATGGGTGTTTTCACTGTTCATAAGTACCTCTTTGAATAATTTTCTATCATTCATGTAGTTGATTGTATTTTATTTCATTGGACAGTGATATACCATCTAATGTTTTGGGTTTGGTGTTTGTTTTTGTTGGGTTTTTTTTGTTTGTTTGTTTGGTTTTTTTTTTTCTGTTACAATATTAAGGAGATTTTTTTTAAAAAAACAAATAACCTATACTTTTAAATTTGGGGTAAATGAATGCTGATGCCTAAGTATATGTAAACATTGAGACTTTACAAATGCTTCCATAATCCTACGATTTTAGTCATGTTTAAAACAACCTTAACTTTATGTATATAACTCTGTTACTAAGAAACAGAAAGTGGAATTTAGGAGATCTACTTTCAGGTTCCTGTTCTGTCACAGATTCCCCGTATGTTCCTTAATGACAAAACACAGCTATAGATCAACTTAATCAGAAAGAAATGTAATGGAGTGATCAAGGTGCATTGCTATGTCTCAAGACACATTGGTTTGTTATGTTTCAGGCTTCAGTTTGATCCAGAAGTAAATGGAAACTTTTCCATATTAGTTCAGGAGTTATGAGAGAAAAAAACCCACATTATTTGGAATAGCTTGTTAGTCTCTTCAGGGCACATCTTTGACCATGTCTTTCTCTCTCTTTTTTTTTTTTTTTTTTTTTTTTTTGGAGGAGAGGGCTGTGTTGATCAGGGCCATAAAGTATTTACAAAATGCTGTTTGAATAGAATTCACAAGAAAATTAATATTTTTTTATGTAGTCTAGGGATATTTTCTGCTGCATTCTCAATTTTGCACTAATAGTAGAGGAAAATAACCCTGAGGAAATAGACTCTTCCACAAAAAGCTGATGGCTGGTTCAGAGAAAGACAGTCCATATCCAGTTTCAAATTACTTATTATAATAAGTAGTTCCATCCATAACTTCCCAACTATCCTGCTCTGACTCACAGACACAGCAGGAGATCAGTTTTAATCTCCATTTCCCTGCAGTGTTTGGATGATGCAGGAACTACTGGTGACCCAGTACAGCAGCACAAACTCTGTCTTCATGTTAAGTAAAAGCTCCAGGCTTCATAAAAATGGGAGCCTTATATAAACACCTGGTATTTCAGGGTGAAAAAGCTTATCAAAGAATCAAATCAACAAGAAATATCAGTGCCTATTACATCAGGAGTTTCCTACAGTGACTCGGCTTTTGTCTCATGGAAAATGGGATTTGCGTAGTTCCCAAGAAATTTCAAGGAGGTAGGTACCTGCAAAACCAAAGACAGTGTCCTTTGCTGAGACACTGAGGTGACATGTTTGGAGTCCAATGTTAGAAGGAAGGAACAAACAGCTGTTTGTTTCTGTATCCTCCTTATAGGCATTCTCATAAATAAATATATAAATGAAAACTCTCCAGAATTAGTATAGACTAAGAAAGCTCTGTGGAGGTTGCTAGGCAGCCGAGGCCAAAGGGATAGAGAGCAGGCAGGTCTCTGAAAAACAGAATCAGCGACTTATGGGTTATCTGGAGTCACCATTTATTCAACTGTCTTTTATCATAAACAAGAGACAGTAGAATTTATTTTGCTTTGGTAAATGAACAATGTTTTTAAAAGATCTGAAATAAAAGGCCTGTTTTGTATCTCATTCCTATCAGTGTTTTCAAGCTGAAATTGTATGTGTGATTATTATTTCTAATGTTTATTTATTCATTGACTAAAACAGGAATTTGTTGCAGTATATCCAGGCTACAACTTGAAAACAATTTAGCAGAGTAATTAATTTTTACACTTTTGTCCAATTTTCATTTTTACCACAATGAGCATGTAAGCCTCTAAATGAAGTTTCCAGTGCTGGATGGTATACCTTGCCCTCAATATGTGTCTGTGTTTCACTGTCACTAATGACAGAGAAAGACCTAATTCCTACCACCATACCCTATATGATATATGATGAAGCTACTCATTACAGAAATATAGCAGTAACATACACACTCTTCCTATTACTGCTAAGCATGCATAAATACAGGAATTTCTAATAGGCAAGTTTCTCATATATGAGGTTGGGTGATCACAGCATTGAATAATTGCTGCCTTTGAAATCTCTGCTTACAGTTGTGTCTTTTAAAGTCTTCTTGAAATTAACTGTGCCTTCAGCAGCTGTATTATACAGACAAGTACATTGAGGAGACACTGTAATCCTACAACTCCCTTTCCTTCTCAAATTGTGTAATGACAGCTCTATATCATGTTTTAGTCTAGTTTTTCTCCCCAGTATCTTCAAATTATGTGTCTAGAAGATTTAATTACTGCATCATGGTTTCTCAATATTTGTTTCTTCCGCAGGGTGGATGCTGTGGGGGGGTCCAGGCAGCTCTGTGGAACAGTCTCCAATGGGCTAGTAGGATGAGAAGTTCCAGGGGTAGTTTGGGAAGCGAGGAGAAGCATCACCTCCCAAGACGGTAAACCTACTGAAAAGGTAATTCATGCTAGGATACTGTTATGCAGTCAGCTTTTCAGGCTCCAGGGATATCATGGCTGGGATGCATGGCGGAGAGCAGGTAGGGAACGGGAGCACATAGCTTTGAGGCTGTCCCAGCGTTCACATGGAGTCTTCTCGAAATCTTCCAAGAGCTTCTTAAAGTGCACTGAGTTTTAACTCCCTTCCCTGCGTGAGGAAGAATTTGGAGGCTATATCTTATACAGGGGTTTTCTTGTCTTCCTGTGGACCTGTTAGAGAATGCAAATCACAAATTTACAGTAACTTGCCAAGAAGTTTCTTATAGGACTTAAAACTCGTGCAAGTGCCAGCCTATCAGCATATAGCAATTTGGCATAATAAAGCATTGTTTCACAGGGAGAGTTATCAGCTTTATTTTTAACTATACGTATTCTTGTTTGGTTGGCTTATTTCAGTCTCACCTTCCAGGCTTAACTCTTATGTTTGTAAGACTCTCTTTCTCCCCTGAAGCCATAACTATGGATGTTTTTCTTGTTAGCATTTCAGAAGTCCAAGAGAATTTGCGAACTAAAGATCTGTCATCCTTCAGTGTAACTGTAATGCTTCTTCCTTCATGTAAGGAGGTAGAGTTGAGCCATGAAGTACCAGAACACTTTCTCTGCTGTCTAAAACGCTCAGCTAGATGGTATATTTCTGAGCCCAGTTAACTTTCAGTATGTCCATGCTATGCACGCATTCATTGGCCCTCAGCTAAAATTAAGTTTGCTGAACAAACAGATTTTGTCCACTCATCCTAAACCAATCATTTCCCATGGTACATGATGAAATATCTGACAGGCAGACTTGCTGCTTTCATTTATTAATGTGCCTTAATATATGCAGAGGGTAAGAATATTGACAATGGAAAATCACACTGGTGGAAAATAAAATAGGATTTTTAATACAGAAGTTTTCATAAGGACCTATTCCCACATCTCATGACATACCAAAAAAGCACAAAGCATCATTTAATTTGGAAAGCTTTTTTCTTTGCTCGGGAGTATAGATGTTTTGGCTGGTTGAGTACTAGGTTAGGCTTTCAAATATCTCTGGGAAATACCTTCCTTTTTGTTGCTGGTGAGCAACCTCCAGCTCCCTGGTATTCATTAATTAAAACCATTCAGAGATTCTAGTGTTGCAATTCACAAATTGTTTCCATGCTTCATCAGGCTTGGCAGCTGACAGAAAACAGGCCAATCTGCACTCATATAACATTATCAAGAGTTATGCTTTTGTATAACACATAGCTGTGGTAGAGAGTCTAAAATTTTCCCCCCTGGAACGAAAAGAAACTACTTTATTACCTGGGAGAAATTATAAATGCATTTGTGACAGAAGAAAGGTTTGATATAAGAAAGTGAGAGTAAGCATAGGTCTTGCCTCCTGCATTTATACAAATGGTGGTAGTTCTCAGTATATAATCTGCTTTTCAAGACTCTTCCACTCACAGTTGTTACGAATCAATTGGACTTATGTTCTCTAGACCTAATTTGGTTTTCTGTGATGTAGAAGAAATGAGTTAATGTGGCTTTTTGTTAAAGAGGGTCCGGTAGTCTTTACAAAAAAACCCCACCAATTGATTTTAGGTAATTTTCTGTAATCAAAAGACAAGAATAGCTTATTTATGGTTGGAACTCATCTGATATCCAGAGGATCTAGCATCCGTCCCCAGCTGTGTTCCAGGGTCTTCTTGGGTGCATCTTTCTACCTACAAATTTTGTAGACCGTCATGGAAGTTCTGTAATGTTTGTTTATTGATGCTGTTGTGATAATCCTTTCTCAAAGGGGAAAAAGTGTCTTTGCGCAAGAGTTAGCAGGGCTCACTGAAAGATCTTTAGACTAGATGTGAAGAGGGAAAGGTATAAAACCAGGCTTGCTAGAGATAAGCCTTGGAGTGGCACACAAATGTTTGAGGGATGACCTGGTAGACCTTTAGTCTGCTCCACAATGTGCTGAGTACACTGTAGCACATTTGAAATGCTTTCATACTAATGCACACTGAATGAGGAATAAACGCAAGGAGCTGGCTTTGGCCAGTCCCAGACACATCATTGACATAAGCAGTAGTTGGTGGGATGAGTCCTGTGACTGGTGTGTCGTGATGGATGGTTATAGGCTCCTCAGGAGGGGTAGGCAGGGCAGGTGAGGCATCGGGGTGGTGCTGTATGTGAGGGGGGCATTGGGTTGTATGGTGCTTACAGTTGGTGATGACATGGTTGAGAACCTCTGGGTAAGGTTGAAGGGTAAAACCAATAAAGTGGATGTTGTTGTGGGAGTCTGTTATTGACTACCCAGCCAAGATGATTACAGCAATGAATTATTCTACAAGGAACTGATGAAGTTGATCTCTAGATCAACTACCCTTGTCCTTACGGATGATTTCAATTTCTCATACATCAACTGGGAATATCATACAGTGGACACAAACAGGTCCAGAAAATTTCTGAAGCACATTGAAGATGACTTTTTGGTGCAGGTACTAAGGGAGCCAACAAGGAAAGCTGCCCTCCTCGATTTCTTAGTTGTAAACAGAGGGGGACTCATGGGCGACGTGGTGATTGGTGGCTGTCTTGGTCAGGGTGACCATGAAGTAGTTGAGTTGCGAGTCATAGGCAATAGGAGAAAAACTGCCAGCAAAACTTTGGCCCTGGATATGGGGAGAGCAGATTTCAGACTGCTGAAGAAACTAGTTAGTAAGCTCCACTGGGAATTTGCTTTTGAAAGTACTGAGGTCCATGAATGTTGGTCATGTTTTAAGAGACATCTCTTAAGAGCGCAGGAACAGGCAATTCCAGTGTCAGAAGTCAAGCAAGTTGGGCAGAAGGCTGACTTGGCTGAGCAGGGATCTTCTAGAACTTAGTCAGAAAAGGAAAGTGTACGGACATCAGAACCAAGGACAAATGACATGGGAGGACTACAGAGATGCTGTTTGCCCCTGTAAGGAGAAAATTCATGCAGCCAAAGATTGCTTAGAGTTCAAGCTGGCCATCACTGTGAAGGACAACAAAGATAGGTTGACATCAAAAAGAGGATCAGAAATAACATTGTCCATTACTTGATGAGGCTGGCCACCTCACAAATAGGGATATAGACAAAGCAGAGACATTTAATACCTTCACATCTGTCTTTAACACCAGTGATGGGCCCTGGGACACGCAGAGCCCTGTGTTGGAAGAGATGATAAACTCCCAGCCAACCCTGAACTTGCTGCTCCAACTGGATGCGTATAAATCTATGGGACCCGATGGGATTCACAACAGTACTGAAAAAGCTGGCTCTTATTGCAGGGCCTCTCTCCATTATTTTTCAGTGGTCTTGGGAGTCTGGAGAGGTCCCAGTTGAATGGAACCTGGAAAATGTCCAATTTTTTACGAAGAAGGACCCTGGTAATCACAGGCCTGTCAGTCTCACTTCAATGCCTGATAAAATTATGGAGAAGGTTATTATGGGAGTTATTGAAGAACACTTGAGAGATAATGCAGTCATTGGTCATAGCAAATATGGGTTCATGAGGGGAACGTCCTGTTTAATTAACTAAATTTCCTTTTATGACAAGGTCACCCATCTAGCTGACCAAGGGAAGCCAGTAGATGTGGGGTTTTGGGATTTTAGCAAAGCTTTTGATCCCATCTCTCACAGTGTCCTTCTGGACAAAATGTCCAACACACAGCTATGCAAGTCCATAATACACTGGGTAAACAATTGGCTGATGGGTCAGGCTCAAAGAGTTGTAGTAAATGGGGCTACATCGGGCCGGTGGCCAGTCACAGTGGGGTTCCCTGGGGTTCAATTTTAGGGCCAATGATCTTTAATATTTTTAGAAGTTATCTGGATGCAGGAGTCAAATGTACATTAAGTTTGTTGATGATACTAAAGTAGGAGGAGCTGTGGACTCCCTTGAGGGTGGAGAGGAATTACAGTAATATCTGGATCGACTAGAGAGCGGGGAAATCACCAACCATATGAAATTTAACAGGAGCAGGTGTTGACTGTTCCACCTGGTTATATTGGGGATATAGTGATTAACTGGAGGATGAGAGGCTGGAGAGCAGCCCTATGGAATGAGATCCAGAGATCTGTGTTGATGGCAAGTTGAATATGAACCAAGTGTACTCTGGCAGCTAAAAAGGGCCAACCATGTCCTGGGATGCATCAAGCGCAGCACAGCTAGGCCATCAAGGGAGGTCACTGTCCCACTCTGCACTGGTACAGCCCCATCTTGAGTACTGTGTGCAGTTTCGTGTGCCTCAGTATAAGAAGGACATTGAATTATTAGAGGGTCCAGAGGAGGGCAAGGAAGATGGTGAAGGGTCCTGAGGGCAAGATTTATGAGGAGCAGCTGAAGTCACTGGGGTTGTTCAGCTTAGAGAAGAGAAGGCTGAGGGGTGACCTGATCGTAGTCTACAACTTCCTCAAGGGGGGCAGTGGTAGGGGAGGTGCTGATCTCCTCTCTCTGGTGACCAGAGGTAGGACATGAGGAAATGGAACAAAGCTGCATCAGGAGAAGTTCAGATTGGACATTAGGAAAAAGTTCTTTATAGAGATGGTGGTGGTCAGTCACTGGAACAGGATCCCCAGGGAAATGGTCATGGCAAAGCCTGTCAGAGTTCAAGGAGTGTCTGGACAATGCTCTTAGTCATATGGTTTAATTTTAAATAGGCCTGTGAGAAACAGGGAATCAGACTTGATGATCCTTATGGGTCCTTTCCAACCTGAGATATTTTACGATTCTGTGATTCTATGAGTCTAACCTCAGTGCCATAGAGAACAGTTTGGATTCCAGGCTCTACACTGGGAAAACCCCTCAGGGCAAATACAGAAACTGAAATTAGATAACACTGTGATATCTTCATCTGCAACATACTAAATAAAGATTGAACTTCTCCATCCCTACCCTTAATGAGAAACAGGAAGCTTAAAGGATTGATTTCTGAGTCTCTGATTCACTGCTTAAATTGTGTTTCATGTGAACTATTGTT